GCTCGAAGTTCTGCCTCTGTTCTAGATCGAGATACAACTGCCTGCTTCTTGGACTTCCATGTAAGAGGAGGAGAACCAAAAAAAATGCAATAACCAGTGACCGAACGACGATCACTTTGATTGCTCGCCCAAGTAGAACCCGAGTAAGCATGAAGCTGAAGCGAACTATCACGAGCATATAATAAACACTGAGATGATGTTCCCCTTAAGTATCGTAGTACACGAAGCAAATGCCCAAAATGAAGCGATGTGGGAGCACTCACAAACTGACTCAATATATGAACTGCGTGAGCAATGTCAGGCCTGGTAACAGTAAGGTAAACGAGACTGCCTACAATATGTCGATAGCGAGAGGGATCCTCAAGAGGCGTACCATTAGTGGGACGAAGCTGTAAGTGTAGATCCATAGGTGTAACTGTTGTCCGAGTATCAATAATACTAGAATGAATAAGAAGGTATTGTATGTATTTGGACTGAGAAAGGTAATAGCCCGAGGCAGAATGCATAACCCCAATACCCAAAAAGTAGCTAAGAGGACCTAAGTCAGACATCTGAAATTGTTGACCAAGTTGCTTCTTGGCATGAGAAATATGTTCTGCATCATCTCCCGTAATCAACATATCATCAACTTATAGAAGAAGTAGAGTACGCCCACGTGGAGAGAGATGAACAAACAAAGAAGGATCATGATCACTAGGGGAAAAACCAGCAACCCGTATGACAGAGACAAAACACTCAAGCCAAGCACAGGGATCCTGTTTGAGACCATATAATGCGTGACGAAGACGACAAACATGTCCAGAGGGGGAATCAACACCCGGTGATGGCTGCATATAAACTTCCTCATGCAGATCACCATGAAGGAAAACATTCTTCACATCCATCTGAGATATGGTCCAAGAACGAGTAGGAGCCACTGCAATCAAAGTACGAACAATAGTCATGTGAGCAACAAGAGCAAAAGTCTCATCATAATCTCGCCCCTGAGTCTGCTGAAAGCCTCTAGCAACAAGACTAGCTTTATATCTCTCAATGGGACCATCTGACTTGGTCTTAATCTCAAAGACCACTTACAGGTGATAGGCACAACATCCGATGGTAACCAAACAAGATCCCAAGTGCCAGTACGATCAAGGGCAGCAAGTAGTTCATCTGACATAACTACTTGCCACTCCGGAATACTCGAAGCTTCTTGATAGGTTGAGGGCTCATCAATAATAGCACCCGCACGTGGAAAGCCCAATTTATCAGAAGGCTCAATAGTAGCACGGTCACGTAAATTATATTGCTGAACAATCTCAGACTCTCCAAGAATGCCATGTGACACATCAAAATCATCTAGGACGGGAGCATTAGGAATGGCCATTGTAGTAGAATGAGGCGGAAGCGTTGTGTGACATTTGGCACGACGAGTATAAACTTGTGTGATGGGTTGCTTATTAGGTGGAGGCTCATAAAAAATGGGTTGTGCAAGCTCATCATGAATGGAAGAAGGAGAAGCAGGAACATCATCGTCAACAAAGGAAACAAAGGAAACAGGAGGAAGACATAAGAATGACGTAGACTCTGAAGAAGAAGAAGATGTGGGAGGAGTGGAAGGGTTATAAAAGAAAGGGCGATCCTCGACAAAAGTTACATCACGATATATACGCATGTGGCGAGCGGAAGAATCATAACAACGATAACCCTTATACTCATAACTATATCCCAAAAAGACACACTCAACCGACTGAGCAGTCAGTTTAGTGCGCTCACGAGGAGCAAGCAATGCATAGCATGTATATCTGAAAACCCGAAGATCATAGCTAGGGGAAATACCAAAAAGAACCTCACCAGGACACTTACCAGACAATTTGGAAGACGGCTGTCGGTTGATAAGATAAACAGCTGTAGACACAATTTCTCCCCAAAAATGAGATGGAACAAATGAGGCAATGAGAAGGTTCTAGCAGTCTCAATGAGATGGCGGTGTTTTCTTTCCGCAACACCATTCTGAGCATGTGCACTAAGACAGTGCACAGGAGAGCTGGGCAAGAGTGCCCTCAGAGGTCAAAAATTGACGAAAATTGTTAGACATATACTCACCACCAGAATCAGAATGAAAAACTCGAATAGGAGTAGAAAACTGAGTATGAACCATGCGAGCAAAATCTTTATAAATGGAACACAACTGAGAACGATGTTTCATAAAGTAAACCCTAAGTATATCGAGAATGATTATCAATAAAAAGAACATAATATTTATTGCCACCTTTTGTAGGAAAAGGGGACGGAACCCATACATCAGAGTGAATAAGATCAAAGGTCTAGCAGAATGAGAAATACTAGTAGGATATGGGAGTTGCAGCTGTTTTCCAAGCTTGCAACCCTTACAATGAAAACTATACTCGATAGACGAATGACCTAAACAACTAGTACTAATCAAAGTAGACAAACGAGACCCACTCAAATGACCAAGACGATGATGCCACTTGGCAAAAGATGAGGTGGAAGACGAGACAACGGATGAAACACGAGCGGTAGAACCAATGGAAGAGAGAAGATGTAAAGTGTCTAGGACGTAGAGGCTCGAAGAACCTTTACGGCGATGGCCAGTCCCAATCACAGCCCCGCTTCGACGATCCTGAATAAAACAAGATGAGTTATCAAATCCAACAATACAGTTTTGATCAGTTACCTGACCAACGGAAAGAAGATTCATTCATAGATAATTTAAGAACATAAGAGATATTAGGCACTGAAAAGCGTGAATCGCAAAGAGAACCCTCATGAGTGATATGGCAAGAAGTGCCATCAGCTGTCTGAATAGAAGCACCATCAGGGACCGCCTTGCAGGCAACCAACTGGGAGTGATCAGATGTCATATGAAAAGATGCTTCAGAATCGAGGACCCAATACTGAGGTGCATGGACATGAGAGGCAGCAGCGACGGAAACAGACCCCTTCGTAGCAGTAGTCGTACCACGAGCCCGAGCAGCACGACGCGCACGATACTCAACCAACTTTTCTGGATGCTGAGTGAAACAATTCTCGTGATTGTGACCGGTCTTCCCACAATGCTTACAAGGATCTGGAGAGTCACCTCTGGGTGCACTAAGCCGTTGAGAAAATATCCTTTGAGGAGCTGCGAGAACACTCTGCGATACAGACGGCGGAGCAAACTGACAGAGATTGGAGACGAGTCTCTTTAGCAATCAAATCAGATAACGCTTGTGCCATGGTCAGAGTAGAGGAGTTATGAATCAACCGTGTAAGAATGGACTCAAATTCTGCTCTAACTCCCATGACGAAGCGATAAATAAAGAACTTCTCAACAAACTTTTGCTGAACACTCCTCCACCGAGTAGTGAGGTACCATAGAGATTAATGGTCCCATCAAACGATCAAAAGTAGAATAGTATTCATCAATGGACATGGAGTTCTGTTCAATGGCAGCCATCACTTTCCCATCATTAATCTGCCATATT